TCAAGCTGGTCTCCAATTCCTGGGCTCAAGCAATCCTCTGCCTTGGCCTCCCAAATGCTAGGATAACAAGTATAAGCCACTTAGGCCGGCCCATTTCTTAGGTTAGTAACCAAGGCTGGGATCAGACACACTTCTTCTCTTGTTTCAAGCACAGTCTTAGTAGTGATACTTTATGTAGGTTAAGTGCTTTTTTTCCCTCCAAAGCACTTTCACATATATGGCCTTATCCTTTACCCAACCCTGTGTGCAGTTAGACATTCTTATCCTAATGTGTAGATCAGAAAACAGAGGCACGCACAGGGTTGCTAGTGAGGTCCCAGGGCTGGTTCCTGGCAGAGCCAGGAGTCTGGCATTCTTTCCTCTGGGCTTCACTGTCCTCCAGCTGATCCTGCCTGAAACTAAGCAGGGTAGCTAGGGTTCATACAGAGGTTATGACTCCATGCCATTGCTGTGAAGGTGAAGAAGCAGATGTGGATAGAATTACAAAACTATATTTTCAAAGACTGGACATTTGTATCTGGATCAATGGGTCCATGTAAGTGTTAGCCTAGAGGTTCCCTCAGCCACTGTCTAGTCAAAGATGAGGCTTGGCCTTTGCCTTCCTTCCTTGCCTCCTCTCCCTTCACCCTTTCCTTGGTCAAAGCAGAGCTCATCAATATGGCAAGGCCCTGTGTAGTGTTCTCCTCCTTTGCTGGAGAACTATGTCAATCAAAGCTCTGAGGTCTCCTTTTGCCAGATGCCCTCTGTACTGATCAGAGTGCAGGGTCCCTCAGTCATCCCTCGGGGCTTGGAGAGGAGGACAGAGCCATGTCCTCTGCTGAGAAGTATTTGATTGCCAGAACTGGCAACAGTGTGCCTGTGATCAACAAATAAAGGATCACAGCATCTAGAAAACTGGAAAAACTACATCTCAGAGGAAACCAGTCATAAAAAGTCCCCATCTGAAGCATTTGTACCACAGATATAGAAAGAGTCTGTCTGGGGCTTCGAGACTCATCTGGGTTCTTTGTGAACTTGGGCTAGGAAAACATTTAACTTCTCTATGCCTCAGATTCCTCATCTCTAAAATGGCAAGCTTAACACTATCCCTATAGGTTGTTGTAAGAATCAATTGCCTGGCAAGTAGAAGGTGCTGATAAACATTAGTTTTTCTCCCACTAGTCTTTTTTAGATCTATATAAAGGTGTATTCCCAACTGAATGACAGTTTGAAGAGTCCATTCTTAAGAAATAAAATTCCCTGGGGCTCACACCTGTAATCCCAGCATTCTGGGAGGCTGAGGTGGGAAGATCGCCTGAGCTAGAGTGAGACCCCGCCTCTAAAAATAGCTGGGTGTTGTGGCAGGTGCCTATAAATCCCAGCTACTCAGGAGACTAAGGCAAGAGAATCGCTTCAGCCCAGGAGTTTGAGGTTGCTGTGAGCTATGATGCCACAGCACTCTACGGGGGGGGGGGCAAAAAAAGTTGAACTTTTTTTTCAAAAAAAAAAGAAATAAATAAAAAAAAGAAATCAAATTCCCTCTACCTTAACCTTTATGCCAGAAAGGTGAAGGATTAGCTATGTCAGGGCAAATACTACCAAATGGCACCAGGTTTGGGAAAGAAGAACCTGGTGTGAGCCGTGCATTTCGAAGGCTTTATGAAGTTGTAGAATGTCACACTCACACTGATCATGTCTTCTCTAAATGCCCCAGGACAAGAATGGGCCCCTTCTGGTTATATATCAACCTTCCATTGCATTTACTATGATGGTAATTATATAGTTATTCATGAAATTGTTTTAAGTTTGTGTACTCTCCAAAAGCCTAGCACAGTGCCTGGCACATAAAAGAGGAATGAATGAATGGACAAAAACATTTCCACTTGCCTTATCTCTTCCCAGCCATTAATCAGTTCTGCTGTGATCCAACCGCGGGATCTCACTTTCACTTTACAGAAGGAGGCTTGTACCATTGTCAAGGTCATCCAGTGAGTAAGTGGTAGAGCAGGCACTTTAGCTCAGATTTCCTGATACCGAATCCAGTTCTTTCCTGCCCTTTGACTCAGCAGCCTCACCCTCATGTCTATCCAGATGGTAATATTCCAGAGGAGCCCCGTTCCCTGCAGCCTCTGCCTGCGTGTGTCATTTGGTGGCCAGTTGCCACATTTTGAGGGTGGAAGACCCACTTTCCACCCTAACTCATTGAGTAAGGGATTATTTATTGGCTGAAGACAGTTCCTGTCTGACAATGGCACATGTTCATCCATATAAGCCTCAGCAAGCAAGGAGAGGATTCCCAGATTTGAGGACTGTGTTATATGTTGGGGGGACCTTTGCCATTCCACTTGAACACTTTTGGTCATGCCATCCATTTCTATTTTTTTAACTCTCTGATTCCCTAACATTGATGATGATGATGATGACGATGATAAATTCACTCGTAGCACTTAAAGCAATTGGTTCTCAGCTTATATTCTCAGTTCCCTTTTAATTGCTATCCAGTCTTTACTCATTAACCAGGTTTCTGCTGTAGACAGGCATAACCATCTCAGCTCTCTTCTTTTCCTCTGTGGAACCAGTTCACAATCTAGCAAGTCCACCTTGCTTCCCCCCTCTCTAGGGATCCAGGGAGAACACTTAGAGGTATATGTTTCATATGAAATTGAACTTAATGTTTAGACAAGACCCAATGAGAAAACAACTGGAGTGGGAGTAACAAAATGCGTGTGCATGGCCCAGTCTCTCTTTTAGTAGTTGTGAGATGTGGGACAAATGACTTCACCTCCATGGGTTCAGTCCCTGTGTCTTTGAACCTGCAGTGATTCTTCCCCAAGCTCTTGCATTTCCAAGTTAGTCCATCTCATCTTGTAAACAGACTGCTCTAGATGACAAGTCAGAACAAGAGAAACACTCTTTCACTACACCAGAGCTCACTCAAGGCTCTTTATCAGGCAGAAAAGGTCATTCTTAAGCCTACTGTGGTCTGGAAGTGCTTGTAACAAGATTGCTTTTACAATAACTTCCTTAAGGAGACAAAATCCTCTATTAACCCACACAATAGCTGAGCTGATAGAGATAAAACAGTAACACCTCTTGAAACACGGTGGGGGGGGCACTGACTTCCTGGTGGATCTCAGCAGAGAAACTGCTCCATCCCTCCAAACCCTCCAAACCTACCATGGACACATGGCTGAAGGTCAGCCTGAGAGTTTTCTTAGGTTAAGAGTCAGCACAGATGTGAGATCAATGAGGCCAAAAGAGGAAGGCATAATGGACCAGGTCACCATGCCAGGAGCCATGTAGCAGGGCTGGGGTGGGCACCCTTCAGCAGCCCCCCACGTAGTCCAAGCAATGTGTGCAGGCAGCAGGGGGTAGGGTCTGGAGCAATGCAGAGATACTCAGAGGGCCTGAGTGAGCCACAAGCAAAGACCTTCCAATGGGAATAACAAGTGGCAGCAACAGAGAGGAATAATTTAGGGAATATTATGGAGACCAGGTTAATATGGTGTTTGACCTAAGAACAGCCCATAAGCTCAAAAAAAAAAAAAAAAAAGAAAGGTCAGATCCACATGTATTTATAACTACATATGGGTATGCACATACATGAGACAAGTGGGCAGAAGTGAGCATTAACCAGGGGATGGCAATGTGCACGGGAAATGCACAATGCCCGGTATGGCTTGTAGGGCAGGGGAAGGGTGTGATTCCTTTCCCCACCCATGATAAGGGTCACAGCCAACACTCAAATAACAAAAGACAGGTTAACAAGACATAAGCATGACGAATTTACTTAAAGTTTTATAGGATACAGGAGCCTTCGGAAATGAAGACCCAAAGACCCAGGGAAAGTCTGTTTTTATGTTTAGTTCATGAAGAATGGACAGCCATGTGGAAATGCACTGGGCAAAAGGGTGTTATCTAATGGTAATAGATGGGGGTCCAGCAAGGCCTGTCTGCTCGGATTCTCCTGGGCCTCTCTGTGTAGCAGTCCCTCTTCCCAGATATGAGGCAGGACTCCTCTGGAAAGAGGGTCTTCCAGGGAGAAGGGAGAGAGAAACCTTGCCAGGTTTTATGGTCTTAGGGGGAGAGGGGTTCTAGTTTCTATGACCCACCTTGGGGAAGAGGAATTCTGGTTTCTATGTGGGCGTAGGGAGAGAAGTGGGAGTAGAATATAGGAGGATGGGGGAAGGCCAGAGGGACCTTGGCTGCCAGGCATCTCCTGTGTCCTTCAGTTCAAGGCACTCAGCACACCAAGGGGTACTTTGAATGTTGTATTCTGAGCCTAGAAAAAGCGCCCGATCCATGTTAGGTGCTCAGTAAATAAAGTAAGTCTCTCTCTTCTGCTACCATTCTGAAGAGAGATTCTCCCCCAGCTTCCTAGTGAGGGTGGATTAACTTTATGAACTAGCACGATCCTTGTCGACTATTAGGGGAAATTCTAATAAACTGTTCTCATGCACCCCACTGAGCGGTTTGCCTATTTGCAATTAATTTCTTTGCATCTAAACTTGGAAAGTAAGAATCTAATCAGAGGGCAGGTGCAGTTCTCTGAATTCTGAATTTGAATGCAGCACTAACCCTAGTCCAGGCAGGCTTACGATTGGTCCCTGAAGGAGATTTTCCCCCATACGGCATTGTCCTTGGGGGGTTCTGAGTAGGGTCAGGGAAGAGCCAAAGGCAGCCACTGACGGGATCTCCAGACACACCCTTCCAATCCGGAGGAGGCAGGCAGCTCTCACCCACGCCTGCCGGCAGCTCCCACGGAGACAGGGTTCCCAGGTCCACCCTGGCCCTGAAGAGCACCAGGGGCCACGGAGCGGGGCTCAGGTCAGGGCTACAGCTCACCTAGGAACCGGGGCTCCAGGCTTCCAGGAGGCAGGGCGTTCTTCCCCCTGCACGATGACATCATGTGTTTGGGGCTGAGTCGCTCCATAAAAGCTGCCCGGGGTTGGGGGGGGGGGAGCCAGGAGCCCGAAGAGCGGACGTGCTTGTCCCAGCACTGGCACGGGGCAGAGCGCACGCGGTCCCTGTGTGCGGCGGGACAGCGAGAGGCAGCAGAGCCCAGACCGCCGAGATGCCCCGGAGCAGCCTGCACGGGGCCGCCGTCCTCCTGCTGCTGATCTTAAAGGAGCAGCCCTCCAGCCCAGCCTCACCGAACGGTAAAGTTTCTGCCTGCCTCTCTCTCAGCAGTTCCCAGCGCTCAGCCACACCTGGACAGAAAGATTTCCTGGGAGGCTCTTTGATGATAAAGTCATTACCGGAGGGAGCAGGGAAGGCGTCGTGCCAAGGAGCACTTTGGAAGAGCTCTTTTAGAAAGGATGCTTCGTTTTCATGGCTGGGGCGGGAAGGTTCTTGTCTCTTCCTTCTAATGGAGCTTAGCTCAGAGAGGGGATGGATGTTATGATGCCTGTTCTCTGAGCACCCCGAGTTCTGGAGATGTAGCTTGGGAACTTGCTAACTAGAGAGGAGAAAGAAAACCAAGATTTAAAATACTGCACAGGTGAAAATTAAAATATCGATCCAGGTGCAAATAGCAGAGAAGTGACTGTGGCCTTCTGAGCGGTGTAAGCACCGGGAAGGGAGTGCTGTTGCCCAGTGCAGAACCCTCCTTGGTAGGTGCTTTTCTTCCCAGGAGAGACTCTTTACCAATAAGTCTTACCTCCAAGTCAGAGGGACGGTGCACCTCATACTTAATCACTGTTTTTCTCCGGGCCTCTCTGCTATGCTGAATGTACATGTGTGCATACACACACACACACACACACACACACACACACACGTCTTATTTCTGACTGTAATTAGGATACTTAACCCCAAAGGGCAGGAGGCTGAGGATGCTGAGTGGGTTGTCAGGAGGGGATGGTGCCAGGGACCTGAACTGTGGGATGGGGTCAGGCCAATGAATTACTGTGAGAAGTGAAGTCTGGTCAATTCATCTCTTAGAACAAGACAAGGGTGCCAAACTTTTGCCTGCCTCTCCCACAGCTGGCTGAGCACTTTTCCAGGGGAGTAGTGGGAGGTGATTTTTGTGAAGGCTGCCTGAATAACTGATCATGGGCTGCCACTCTTGATAGAGTTTGCTCCATGTGGTAGAGACATTCTCGTGGGTGCTACTGTTCCTGGAGCCAGGTTGGGTTGAAACATTTATATTAATAGAAAGACCAAAACTGGTAGTAATGGCTGAAAATTGATTCTCCCTGGCTAGGCAGTGATGGTGGGAAACCATTCCTGCTCTGTAGTCACAGCTCTGAGCCTCCTTCTCTCCTGGAGGTCATCGTGCCCATGGGGAAGGGCAGGGAGCCAGGCTGGGAGGCGCTGTGGATTGCTCTTAATTAAATCTAGTCTCCTGGCTGGCATGATGTGCTTGATGTTATCTCTCTCAGCTGGTGGGGGAAACAGAAGGTAGGTAGAAGAAAGGATTACATAAAAGTGGAAATTAATTTTTAAACTACAAACTCTGACATGTGTTCCCCTCTCAAGAAAGATGCTGAGACAGAAAGAAAGACGACTGAGCAGAAGTTTCACTGGAAATCTCTTTCGTCCTAAGCACTCCAAGGCAAAAGAGATAAAACAGCCATTCCTTGGCCCTTTTCCCAAAAGCTGGGTCCTCCCCTCACTCCGGGACAGCGCCCTCCACCCTACCCCTTCCTCTGCTGTCCACTATCCTTCTCCCTCCCTCCCTTCTCCCCCTCTGTCCTTCCCAGCCCTCCAGGACCTCCCCAACCCCCTCTCCGTTCTCTTTCTTACCTGTTCCCAATTCTCCAAGTTTCATAGAGGAAGCTTATAGTAAAAACTCCACTTTCATCCCTCCTGGGTAGCCAGCCTGCCTACTCCTAGATTCTCAGAACACAGTTTTTATTCTGTTATTTCTCATGTAGATATTTTGGGCATTTTAACTGCCTCAGGGGACAAGGTCAAAGCAAAAATCACTGAGGTGTAGAATGCCAGTGTTAACCCAAGGTTGAGGGTTGAGAGGGGTTAAGCTGAATAATGAGGTCAAAGTGTGGGCTGTCTTCTACTCGGATCATTTGCACTTCTAGAAGTTGGCCCTGGAGGATGTTCAAGAAAAATGTCTGGGGTTGGGGAGGGAGGGCACATAATAAGGTGAAGTTGAGCGTCTTCTGGAGAAAAACACCTTTGAACTCTTAGTTGCTGTGGCTATTCTGGGGTGTTACAGCGAATTCTGTGGAGCCTTCTTTGCCTGAAGCTGGTGTGGAGAGCTGGGCAGTCTGGGGCTGCTCAGATGATGGTTACTCAAGGAAGGTTCTAGCACCCGGGACAGGAAGCGGATAGGGCTGGGAATTCTGACCTGTGTCTTCATGAATACCATTTCCTCAGGGCATCCTCCCTTCCCAGTGCCAACTGGGTCTGCAGGTTCTAACAGATGGCTGGCTGAGCCTCCCTCATCTCCCAGATGGAACAGATGACCTTATTTGGGAAGGGGACTGTTTCCCTCCACTAAGGTCCTTTTTCATTTAGGAAGCCATGGAGGCCGCTGTCTCACCTGCCTTGTGGGATCAGTTTAATCCTATTAAGATTTCTGTTCTTATAGGCAGAGGTAGGGAACCAGGAGATGCCATCCTGAATAAAGCACACACACACACACACACACATACACTCTTTTAGAGAGTCTTCCTGAGCTCAGATTTGAGCTGACAATGCCCCAGGGTGAGCCCTGATGAACCTCTTGACTCACCACCCTCATCTTCAGTTTGCAATGCTGCTTCTCCTCAGACCTCCAGCTCCTGAGCCCCTCCAGACATTGCCATTCATACCCAAAGCACCAAGTCTGGAGAACCAAGCTGGCTTGCTCAGAAGAAGGAGGGCAGGAAAGGCTGTTCTGGATGCTGCTCCTAGGGGAAGTATCCTTAGCAAGCTTTGGAGAGGATAATGGAAGTAAGGCAGGAAGGCTATGATTTGAATGGGAGCAGGTGTAATGAAAACTGCTGGCCAGGGCAGTAATGCTCAGACGCAGCAGAAGCTTTGCCAAGGGCCTCCAGGATTCCAGTCTGTTCCTCCCTAGGGGAAAAGTAAGAATGAACCCTCCTGTTACTTGTGGCATTTTATACGCTGGACCTCCAAGTGCTCTGACCTGCTAAGTGGCAATAATCTCCTTATGTCTCTGAATCCATCTTTGTATTTTAATAGTGAATCTATTACAAAAAACAAAACAAAACAAAACACTGAAAGAAAATGTCCAGAAAAGAGGTTTGATATCTTCTATTGCTTGTTCCTAAGGCAGTGCTTCATTTCTTTTCACTAGTACTTCAGCTAAGAAGCTAGTAGGAAACTTGGAGGTGACTTACATAAGTTTAGTTTCTCCATGGCTCTGAATGTCTTCACACAATGGCTAATTCAGGGGAGGTTAATCTTAGAACTATTAACTCCTGTAGGGTCCATAGCAGATTTCATGGGGTCTGTGTACCTTCTGAAATTAATTGTACACGACATACTGTGTATCTAAGCTAAAGGGCATTTTTACAGAGAAAAGGCGCATAGTACCAATCAGATACTAGAACAGTGGTTCCCAGCCTTCTTAATGCTGCGACCCTTTAATACAGTTCCTCATGTTGCGGTGACCCCCAACCATAAAATTATTTTCGTTGCTACTTCATAACTGTAATTTTGCTACTGTCATGAATCTTAATGTAAATATCTGATATGCAGGATGTATTTAGGCAACCCCTGTGAAAGGGTCATTCGACCCTCAAAGCGGTTGAGACCCACAGGTTGAGAACTGCTGCTCTAGGGGGTCTGGATTCCCCCACCTCACTACTCTAAAAATTAAGGAGACTCAACGATGCCCTAAGTTCATAGAGATAATGGCAAATTAATGGTCAACCTGGAGAGACTTTGAGATACTGTGAAGGTCACTTCACCTTCCCTGTCATTTCCTTGCCTTTAAAAGGAGGAAATGGGCCGTGGGTGTGTGAAAGAGACCCACATCCTTCTCTTATAGGATGGGATGTCAACAAATAATGCCTAAACCTAAGTAACCAAGAGGGAATGACATAAGCATGTTTTATATCACACCGTGAGAGGATCGTAGGTGTGCCTTGAACATTTTTAAGATCATTAATTTAAGCCAGGTGCGGTGGCTCACGCCTGTATCCTAACCCTCTGGGAGGCCTAGGCAGGTAGATTGCCTGAGCTCATGGCTTGGAGACCAGCCTGAGCCAGAGCAAGACCCGTCTCTAAAAATAGCTGGGCATTGTGGCGGGCACTTGTAGTCTCAGCTACTTAGGAGGCAGAGGCAAGAGAATCACTTGAGCCCAAGAGTTTGAGGTTGCTATGAGCTATGATGCCACAGCACTCTACTGAGGGTGACAAAGTAAGACTCTATCTCAAAAAAAAGAAAGAAAAAAAAGGGAAAAAAATTATTAAATTATTTTCTAAAGAAGTTCAAAGCCAAATAAGTATTTTTTTTTACTTTTTTTTTTGATCACCATAATTTAAGTGTGCCCTGAAAGTTTAACTATAGGTTCAAGTGTAAGGTGAGACAAAAGAGATTGAAAAACACTGTCTTATACTGATACAGATATAATAATACCAAAAGAATCACTTAAAAAGATTCATGGTAGTTGCCCTAGGGAGCAGTAAATAATTAGGGAGTGTCAGGGGACTGATATTTTTGCTAAAAAACCTTGTAGAACCATCTGACTCTTTACCATGTACAAGTATAATTTGATAAAAAGCACCAATTGCATTCAAAAACAAAACCAAAATTAATTAAAAACACCAAGGCAAAGAAATGAAATGGAACAATAAAAAACATGAGATTAAACCAGCTTTAAAAAAAAAAGAGCAAACTCCACTTTCAGCTTTTACAGCCACCATTGACTTAAGTCGGAAATACCTAGTTGTGATAAGTAACCTGATTACTCATCAGTTAAGTTTTACTTCCAGCTAATTTCCAAGAGAGAAAGGGGATATAAGAATCTTCCTTTTATAGCTGTACCATTGGGGGCCAGGAGCCATGGAGGCACTGGGAAGGAAGGATACAGTGGCACAGTCGTACGGGATGCACATTAGATGTGTCCCCCAATACACACTGGGATGTGCCTTAACTCAGGGCCTCAGTCTCCATGCAGAGATAAAGAGGAAGGTGGGCAGGCAGGTCACAAGAGCACGGCTCTGCAGCGATTTTTGAGAAAAACGTTTTGATTGAGGAACGAAGGACCTTTAGGCATGAAGGGTGTGGAGTGGGAAGGGGTGGGTGACTTTTGACATATTTCTGGCAGGACTTCCCCTTCCCTACACTTTCCCACCACCCCTGGAATCCTCACTCAGATGAGGGTGTCAGCTTCCTCCAAGAAAAACTTCTGCCCTCTTGAGATTGGCTTTCTCCTCTTGATGGACCCATGTGAACTGTTCTCCAGGATATGTTGCTTAGTGGGAAAAGCGAGATGCAGAAGAGCTCTTCCAGCGTGCCCACATTCGTTCACACGAGGAAAAGGGGAGGTGGCATAAAAGCAGGGGGCGTAGTCACACTGTGAAAGGGCTCCCTCCCTCCCCGTCAGCTGCTAGACTACTTGTGAGATGGAAGCAGGGAGAGAGGGTGAGGGGATGAGCTTCCATCGTGTTTACTCTGATGACTTTTGGTTTTTGAGCCCCGAGAAATCATGCCCTGTTCAGGCACTAAAGCTCGGCCTCTCTGAGGGGTCTGGGAGGCGTCTGTACGGGAAGCCTGCTCCGATCCATGAGCTCCGGGTGCACTGAGTGAGAAGCTGTGGTTCTGCCACAGACTCGGAAAAAGTTTCAGTTTCTGTGCATCCACCTCCTTTTCAGTCTCATCGGTTTCAATATAACATCGGTAGCGTTTACCCCAACTCCTTCTGTTCAGCAGTCCTTATTCACTGTCTTTTGTTTTTTGCAGGATCCAAGTGGACCTATTTTGGTAAGTAGAGATTTCAAATACTTCTTTTTTTAAAGGAGATAGTTGTATTTAATGAGAAACCTCCCAAAACGTTCTGCTCTGTGGAGGTTATTTTGGGGGGTCCAAGGAGTAGGCCCTGTCTTGTTGAGCGGGGGAACAGAGGCAGCTCCAGAGAGCTGGCTTTGCGTTCTGCGCTCTCCCCAGCCAGGCGGCCCCCTCCGTGCACTCCAACTGTGAATCGTAAGGCTTCCAGATTCCTGCAAGGATTTCTATCAAAGCCCCAGGTACCTCCAGGCTGCAAGGGCCCCCAGACGGGAGAAAGCCTTTCTCCCTTTCAAGACATTTGTACCACAGTCAACAAAGAATAAAGGGCTCCTTTCTGCAAGTTTGGCTCAGGCCCCAGAACTTAAGCTGTCAGCGTGTCTGGAATTAACTTCTTGCTGCCATGTTTGTAAGCAAGTGATGAAGAGGTGATGGTCAGTCCTTAGGGAAAGACGGGTGATGGTCCTAAATGGAGAGCTTCAAGTATGCCTGAGGCACAGGGTTTCTGCAGAACTGGGTCAAGAACATGCTCAGCCACCCCTGGTGACCTGCAAGTTAAGCAGCTCAAAACGGGCTCAGTTGCAGTGAGTTGGAAATTTGGTCATTGTCGGGAAAGAGAATGGAAAGCCAGGCACCTGGGTCCTGGGGCAAGTATAGGAATGTTAACAAATGTCTTGAGAGTCACAGAAGATGCATAAGATAGATTGTTCCAGAAAGCAGGAGGGTAGAACTGACTTCCCAGGCACAGGAGGCATTTGAAGCAAGTCAGGGACGTGACCAAAGTTAACATCATGGGATGTGTGGTGGTGACAGGCAGGGAAGTTGATTACTTTGGTGGAAACACAGTCTAGAGAGAGATCTGACCTTCACTTGCAATAGTTGGCCTGTGGATATTCACTGGACTTGAAGGCATAGAAAAGTTGCTGAACTGACCAACCAGCTACCTACAGGTCTAGGTCCTCTCAGCGCTGGCTCTGCATGGCTCCATTGCTGGTAACATCCGCTATACACTTAGACTTTTGTGCATGGCACAATCCTCAGGGGGAGGGTAATTAGAAGGGTAGGTGTGCTCTGTAGCTGAGGATTACAGCTCCTAATTCAAAGCACAACTGAGTAGGCAATAGTAACTGATAATAGACAAATGGCTCCACGCTCTGCTTGCTCAGAGAAGGATGTGAGCGCTAGGGCTGGATGGTCAGGGAAGTCCTCCTGGAGGAGGAGGGCATTCAGTTGGGTCTTGGAAGATGGGAAGGACTTAGAGAGGGAGTAGGAGGTGTTGTTGGCCAAGGTGAAGATGGCATCCATGAGTCAAGGCCAGAAAGAGCTGGGTGGTATTTGAAGAAAGCTTGTGGAGAAGGTTTTACAGGGGAGTAATGGGCTCTGGGGTAGGGCAGGGAGTAAATCTGGGCTTCCAGAAGAGCCACGTGGTGGTAGGGGATAGGAGGGAGGCAGAAAAGTGTCGACCCTTGCAGACACCCCATTCTGTGACTTCACTTCCAGTTCATAGTAACAGCAGTGAGCGGGAAGAAGGGCAAGGGACCGGACAAAGGAAGAATGAGAGCCAGGGCTGCAAGTCCCCTGGGCAGGTTCCTTGTGTGGGAGGTGACATGGAAAGAAACTGGCCCTTGGGTCCTGGGCTTTACTCTGACCAATCCTCAGTAAGCCCTTGAGCCCTCTGGTCTCACATTCCCTACCTGCAACCTGGAGGAGGGGTTGTCTGGATGAGAGTTCCTCAAACTATGGTGTGGGGGTCACCCACATCGGAATCACCTGGACCGCTTTCCAAACCAGAGGTCTGGGCCTCAGCCTATACCTGGGAGAGGGAGGGAGCCTGAAAATCCTGTATTTTTAATGCATTCCTCCAGTGTGATTCTTATGCACTCCTTGTTAGGGGACCACTGACCATGTGGTTCCCAAGATCTGCCTGGCCCCAGAGTCAGAGGCAACTTGCCCACTCGTCTACGGGCCTGTCAGGTGTAGTGGGAACACATATCAGGTCTCTCTGGGGCTCCCTGTCTCTCTGTTACAGTCTTCCTTGGGGAGAACGAGATGGTCAAGGCAACAGAAAGACATTGTGTCAAGACGTGGGAGGATAATCTTAACTGCCACTTGGTCATGACACGGTGTTCCCTGAGGGAGGATGCTCTGTGCAGCCAGACTGACCAATCAAGAAACATTTCTTCCTGACCACAAGCTCTGACCACTAGCCCTCTGTCCCTCTCACCCTGCACATGTAGAGCAGCTCTTTGCTGAGGAAGCAGAGGGCAGAGTCTAATGGTGTGTGGACATGTTTGGGGTCAGCACAGAGGCAAATCTGGTTTTGTATTAGTGAAATGGGCACACGTGATATGGAGTCAGCCCTCAGAGGGGACAAAGGGGGGAAGACAGAGGGAGGACAGCTAAGGGGGCAAACAGGTCCAGACTGGCAGGCAGCACATAGTTCAGAGTCACAGGGGTAAACAGAGGGCCCGGCACAGGTGCTGGGAGGAGATGGTTTCCAAAAAGTAAGGACTGCACCAAATGGGGCAAGTTCAGCCAAATGCCTCGCGCTGGTTTTCCTGAGGTGCAGAAGTCAGCTTCTCTGCACGTAGACACTGCTGAGTCATCCTGCTGCTGGGGCCTACCGCTGCCTGCCTGGTGCACACGGTAGGACTTCTAGAAGTGCAAGGAAAGGGAATCGACCCTCCTGCCTCCATCGCTGAGTCACCAGGCTGACCTCAGGGATGGCCCCCTGGAGAGAGGAGGACCATCTCATAGCTAAGATGGGGGCAGCCCTCCCCTGCAGCTCCTCCCAATTGGCTGAAGCAGCAGCTGGGTATCTGCTGTGCTTAGAATCATGAGAGAGAGGATGGGGCTGCTGTGATGGGGGCCCTCCCTGCTGGAAGTCAGCCCTAGTCTTCATGTGAGCTAAGGAGACTCTCCAGCCTGCTAAGGAAAATCTATGCTGCTAAAAGTTAGGATAACGGGTGCGCTGGGGGTGGGGGAGGCAGGAGTGACTGGAAGGAAGGATGATGAGGTCCCAGGCAGGTTTAGGTCTCTGATGTAAGTGCTGTGGCCTGTTTGTGACCATTCATCAAGCTACTTATGGCACATACACTTTTCTGTATGTATATGATATTCAATAAAAGAGTCAAAAACTTCAGGGCAGAGCCTGTGGCTCAGTGGTAGGGCGCCGGCCCCATATACCAAGGGTGGCAGGTTCAAATCCCGCCCCAGCCAAACTGCAACAAAAAAATAGCTGGGCATTGTGGCCAGTGCCTGTAGTGCCAGCTACTTGGGAGGCTGAGGCAAGGGAATTGTCTAAGCCCAGGACTTGGAGGTTGCAGTGAGCTGTGTGACACCACGGTACTCTACTGAGGGCAATAAAGTGAGACTCTGTCTCAAAAAAAAAAAAAAAAAGAGTTAAAAATTCCAGCTATCTGGGAAAGTCATCCCTTACCCTGATAGTTTTGGGTTTTTTTTAGCCCTCCCCAAGAAAAACTAAAATAACTCCAGTGTGTTCAGGACAACAGAACAACCAAAAAGAGTGGCTGTGTTGGAACTAGACCCAACAACACATCATGTGAGCAGAGAATGGGTGTGGAGCTCCCTCCCCGATGAGATCAGACGTTGGTTTTTTGCTCCTTTGATGGGAACTAGTTCAGAAATAGATGGCTACCACTGTGCTCGAGCTCTGGGGCAAGCAAGACAAACCTTAAAGGAGATAGGATGGCAAGGGGTGCCAAACCCCCTCCTGGAAGTGCACAACCTTCCCCTCCTGGATGGTTCACAGACCTTACCTCTCCCAGAGCCCCAGTCCCACAGGGCATCCATGAGATCAGCTCCTTCACCATGGTTCAGGAACTCTGGAATGGTGGTGGCTTGGTCCAGGGTGATGGGTGGCTGGACGTGGCCATGGCTGGACAGCCCTCAGCTCTGATGCTTTGACAATGGACTCTCCATCTTTTAATGAATTCCCTTTGGAAATTAGGATGGGGTCCTCCATTAGGCAAACCTCATTCCCACATCCCTCAGGTCCTCTGGGCCTCCACCCGCCTTCTGTTCTGCTGGAATATTTTGTTGCTATAATGAACTTTTCCTGGGGTTCTGGACACCTTTTGCAGTGCCTTCCCAAACACTAAGAACTAGAAATGGAACACAGGGAAGGAGGGTAGGAGACAAACTCTGGACTTTGTGTTCTTTAGCCCTGTATGACTCATCCCTGACTTGCAGTATGAAAGGCAGATTTTAGTTAGAGCAACGGGAGAACATAAATGGCATCAGGGGCAGATGCATGAAGAAGCGGGTTTAACTCTCCGCTCTCCGGTCTTCATCAAAGGTGGATAGGGTTGGCCAACTCAGACACACCTCAGCAACTTCTCCCTGCTCCCAGCTGCCATCCTGAGAATGAATAGCAGGCGAAAAGTACTCTTTTTTTTTTTTTTTT